GTGTGCTGTGATTTATTTGATTTAATTAGATCGCCGATGTAAAACAGCTCGCAGGGGGGAAAAGGTAAAAACGAGTGCCGAGGGAGGCATAAATAACGCCGTGCTCTTTCCTTCCTCTCCGGCTTTTTTCTTCCTCTGACTCTCCTTTTCTCTCTGATCTTCCCTCTGCTTGTATACAATCTCTCTTTTTCCCTTTTTTTCTCCATGTTCCACTGGACTCCTTTTCTTCAACCTTATCCTCTTTTATGCTTCCCTCTGACTTGGTTTTACTTTACATCTCACCTCCCTCTCTCTACCTTCTCCTCCCCCTCCAATTTCCTCCCCCACCTCCCTCTGCTCCGCTCCCAGCTGAATAATGATAGGGGGTAAACACCTCATTAGGCTAAAAGGCCCACAGGAACAATCAGAGACATGGTACTCAGTCCAACCTGTTACTCTGAATGTTCAGAGAAACATTTTGAACACGGCAGGGCAAAAAGACATCCCACACAGTAAAGGGGGAGTGGGTGGTTTGAGTCATTTGATGGAACGGTTTTTATTTTTGTTTTAAATAGATGGCCAAACTGCATCCTGGCAACAAGATGTGCACGCAAAGTGTCACCTGTGCTTCTACTGCAGGTTATTAAAACACTTGTTGTTGTTAACTTTGTCTGAAAGTGAGGAAGAACTCACACAACCATGAGTAGCTGATTTATGCCGAGCAATCAGCGGAGGTAAGAGACATAAATCTACACTCTCCGGTAGTAACTGCCAGTAAAAGTAGTTCATCCAGCATCACAAACTTCTATCACCTCATCACATCCACCCATTTTACCTACACAAGGTCAGGAACTTTGGAGCAGGCTTGAATTTCCTAACACGTCGAGTGAAAAAACATCCTTGATTTGAGAAAGTATTTTCAGACTGCTGCTGAAGATTTCAGCAGCAGTCTGAATCAGAAGACACTCCCAGCAGAGTGAAAAGTGGCCGGTCAGCTGAAGACCCATATTTCACAGACATATGAAAGTAATTCCATTCCCTCTGCAAACAAACAAAGGCAAATAAGTGCTCTCCAGCAACATCAAACTATTTCTTTAAGGTTAACTATTTCTTTTTTTTTTTTCCCCATCACGGTGCCACACAGCTTTACTATAAAACCTCTTCTCGACTCTTCAGCCCGTCTCCACTTTTAGGTATATCAAAGCCCAACAGCGAGTACACTTAATATTTCATACCACAGTCAAACCTCAGCTCTGTGCATGATTAGTAAAACTGAGTGTACAGCACCAGGTAATTCCACAGTAGATAAGCTGTAGCGTTGTTTTTACAAGGAGAATATAGTTCTACAGGCAGCTGCTGTTGGTTTAGATGTATATGTTGTGCAGCATGTGTATGTGTGCATCAATGCGAGGACATACAACACGTCTATGTGACTTCCACACTTGTTTCTTTGGCAGTCATTGCAAATATACATAATACTTGCTTCATGACTTATGCATGTTAAGCACTAATGTATGGCAACACATTTATATGAATTCTAAAAATGTGCTGATTTACTGGCATTAACTAAGGAGTAGCTTCTCATGACCTTAAGATGCATCATGTGTGAGTTCAAAGATTCATTATATATGAAGCAGTTTGCTCGCCAAGCACTTTAACTGTGGGTCAGCTTCAGGTTTAGTAGGCAACTCTCTTGTGTATTTCCCACACCGTCGTACATCAGTCAGCAGTATCCTCCACTCCCATTGATTGCTCCAATCACTCGCCTCAAAGTCCAGATTAGTTTTACTCAGGACCCACCCACTTAGGGTCACCAGTTGCATTGACTGTCATCTACACAAGTCATTAGATTTTATTGGCGTTTCTCTAGCTGCTACATTGCCATTTGTCTCTTCCTGTGTGTACGCCCCATCAGGGGTGTGATCTGTGCTAGCATTCATCCAGCTTTACTGTTATTAACTATAACAAGAAAAAAAGTACTGTAGCAAAACCTTCACAACATTTTTAATATTTGAGTCATTTATGCCAGATTGGATCTTTCGATGCTTGACTTAAGACAACAACATGCCCTATGGAATAATAACAAGTTAACAAATTATTTCAAGCATTGTTCATATGAATGCCTTTATCAATTTTACTGATATACAAATACAGGGGGAAATAATTCACAACAGCCAACTTCAGATGAAATGTTCTTAGTAGGTATACAGTATCACTCTGTGACAATAATGCAAAGTCATCTTCTTCCAAAGTGCTGCCTAAAACATTAAGGAAAAACAAATATGTTAATCAGTCAGCATTATGCACTGTAAACTTGATGTTTAAAAAGATACTGGCTGTTATAATTAGCTTAAATGAACTGTAATTTACTCTGAGGGCAATTTCTAGCACTTGAAAAACTGAAACCTATTACCAGAACAACAGCTCTAGGGAACTTCTCTGTTATTTGATAGCCCATTCTGGGCTTAGACACACACTCAAACACAAATATCACACACAGTAAAACAAACAGCTTGGACAGATTGCAGACATAAGCTTTCAAAAAGTGGCTGGGAGTAAAAACTATGCTAAATGCATAATGAAATGCACTCATACAACATATAAAAATATTACTATCATTCTCACAATTAGTCTAAAAACCTCCTAAAGCCTGATATTGAATTACAATACATATTGTAATTGCACATTTCTGTTATTACATGAACAAATTTACCTTGTTTTCAGTTATTAAACTGTAACTTTACTCACTTGTTATCTGCTATATATTCAAACAGAATGAACATGACATCAATATTCATGAAAACTCAACTTTTCTCAGAATATGAATTTAAATGTAATGACCTGAGGACTGACCTTTTCTCCCCACTAACCTTTCATCTTTAAACTCTGACCCACAAAGAACTCTATGAACTGCTGGTGGTGATAAAGGTGTTGGGTGTGCTTGCTTTAATGGCCTTGTGGGCTGTTAAAGGCCCATCAGCCACACGGGGGGAGCAGCTGGGACTCAGAGGGTTGTTGAGCGTCGCGTTGAAGGTGCCCTTCAGTAGTGTGTTCATAATACTTGGACTCAACTGCAGAGACATAAACAAAACAGAGATGAGGGACAATGAAGGATGATGAAAAGTTAAATGGGTGTTCTCGGCCACCCCTCATTTCTTCACATTTTGCTTGGAACATATGCAAGCATACCTGGAAATACAGGTTATAAAGCAAAACGTTTGACTTTCATCAAGCTCATTAGAATTATACAATCTTTGGTATGGCCACCATTATTCTCATAGGCTGATCTATCTATTACTTTTGCAAAAAAAGTAATTAGATTATTGTTACTTTCCCATAAGCAGGTTCGTTGCTGCGTTACTAAACCGTGATTTTGTTTGTGAGAGTGTCTCATGAAAATGAGCAGTAACAGATGTGTGTAGATCAACAATGAATAATAGTGCGGGACAGAGTACGACCATGTAGCGTTTAAAGGTTGGAAGTACTTGCATTACTTTAAGTTGGATTCTGTAAAAAGTGACAAAAACATTAGCATCCGCTGTACACTCTGCGTGGGAAGAAAACTTCTTTCTACAGTGAAAAATTAAAGTTCAAATCTTAGCAAGCAGCGAGCACGCTGCCACAGGAATGTGAAATTCAGAGAGAAAACCCCGGATCCCCCCACTGACATGAGCGCTGTAGCTACCACATCCACTTCCACTGGGCAAACTTCCACCGGCCCCACTCCTGCTAAACAGGTGAAAATAGACTCGAGAGCGACAGGACTTAGTGCTGCTGAACCTTTGTTTTTATTTATTTATTTATTTTTGCTGTGTTTTACTTGCATTTATTTGAAAGAGTGAGTGTAAACACAAAA